GGGACACAAGAGCTGTGCTGCTCAGGGCAGTGTCTGCCCTGCAGGGCAGGCCCGGCAGGTGCCACATCTGCCCTGCAGCAGGGCTGCCCTCAGCACTGCCTCCCTCCCTCCCTGCCCACAGCTCTGCTGCTGGAGCTGCCCCAGCCCCAGCTGCTCCTGTGGCCCTGGGCTCCTTCCCTGCCAGAGCTGCCAGAGCCCAGCCCAGGCCCTGGGCCAGCCCTGCCCTGCAGCTGCTCGGCCCTGCAAGGATTAAAGAACAGCTCCCCCAGCCTGGGCACCATGGAAAGGTGATGCTGCATGGATCTGGAGGCTGGGCAGCTGCAGGCACTTGCTGAGGTGCCCAGGAATCCTCAGGGTGATGGTTTAAGAGTCTCAGCCCCTGGTCTCCTATGCACAGCTGAGTTTCCATTGCCACCCAGGTGAGCCAGGGAAAAGTGGGGGCACAGATTCAGGAAAACAGAGACCCAAGAAGAAAGTCCTGCCCTGAATGAGCTCATGACAAGTCCCCTCAGAAGGGCAGCCCCGCTCTGCAGCACATCCTCCTTCTCCTGCTCCTCCTGTGCCACAGAGAACCTGGGAGAGTCCTCCTGACACATCCCCCAGGCTCTGGGGTGTGCTGGCTTCAGGAGATGCCTCCAGGAGCACAGGGGACATTGCCCTGCACCCACACACTCACCATGCACAGGGCTGTGAAGATCTTTCCCCAAGTGAAGTCTCAGCTCAATGTCTTCCCAATCCTGATTGCCTTCAGCCTGTCTCTGCCTGGCTCCTGTCCCCTCAGTGCCTGCAGGCAGAGCCCTCAGCCCTGCTGGGCTGGGAGAGGAGCTGGCCCTGGGAAGAGCTGTTCCTTTAAAGCTCAGCAGCACAGACACAGCACAAGGACTTTAATGAGCCTCTCAGGGATTTGGGGTTGTTTACATCAGACTCAGTCCCTGAGAGAGTGTTCAAAAAACTTCTCAAGAACTCAAAATTAAATTGAAACAGTGAAGTTTCTTGAAGTTTTAATGGGTTCCACTGAGGAACACGACTGAGAAAGTGTCTCCAGGTTCCAGTTAGAGCAGAACACTGGAGGCAGTGATGACAGCTGGGGACAAACAAGGCCAAGGTGTCTCTGGTGCTGAGAAAAGCTGGATGTGTTTGAGGAATGCCAAGGGCCAAGGCCTGAGCCCCAGGGCCTGGCCAGGCAGATGCTGTCCCTCCCTCCTTGCTCAGGGCTCTTGCCGGGATGGGCACTGGCATGTGGGGATGTGCAATGCCAGGGGCAGGAGCATGGAGCGGCCCCTGCCAGGCTGCTGAGCAGGGACAAGGAGGCCATGAGGCCCCAGGCCTGCAAGGGTCACTTGTCTCCTGCTCCTGCCTCAGGCCCAGGCCCAGCAGCCATGGCCAAAGTGCTGCCCAAGTTGGCTCTGGCAGGGCTGTCTTGCAGCTGCTGCACAGCCCTGGTGCTTCTGAGGCAGATGAGATGTGACCACCAGAGGCCAAGGCCAGCCAGAGCTGACAGGTTTTTCTCTGAGAGATACGCTTGCGTACAGCAAGGTTTTAGGGGGGAGTACCAATTTTGTCCATGGGTGTCTGAAAAGAGAGACTGTTCTTTCCATAGGAAGGAAAGCATGGAGCCCCAGTGGTTCATGGGCAGATGAGAGGCAGCCCTTGACATTCTGAGATCAGCCAGACCTGTCAGGTCACCCCTAGGAGGCCAAATCAGCCAGATGTGTTCCATGTTCCTCTCATTCCATGGGCCCCCACAATGTCCCAGTGGTTCCCTTGATTCCATGAGTCCCTGAGGTGTCACAATGGCCCCGTGGTTACATGAGGCCCTGAAGGGTCCTAATGGTCTCCATGGTTCCACGAGGCCCCACAGAGCCATGGTGGTCTCTTGGTTCCATGAAGCCCCACGGTGTCACCATGGTATCCCAGAGTGTCACAATGGTCTCCATGGTTCCACCAGGTCCTCACGGTGTCACTGGGGTCTCCATAGGAAGGAAACAACTGAGCCCCAGTGTTCCAGGGGCGGCCGAGGGGCAGCCACCAGAGGCCAAGGGCAGCCAGAGTAGACAGTGATGGCAGATTTTGTCAGGGAGCCATCCTTGCATATAGGGAATTGTAGAGGTGGAATAACAGTTTCGGACATGGATGCCTGGAGGAGAAGGACAGTTCTTTTCCATAGGAAGGAAAGCGTGGAACACTGGTGTTTCAGGGCCAGATGAAAGATGGCCACCAGAGGCCAAGGCCAGCCAAGCCTCTCTCTCCTGGCAGCTTTTGTCTGAAAGCAGTCCTTGGATATAGGGAATTTTGCTGGTGGAATCAAAAATTCAGCCATTTCTGCAGGGATAAGAAGGATGGTTCTTTTCCATTGGTAGGAGAGCACAGAGCTCAAGAATTTGAGTGGCAGAAGCAGAGAGAGAAGGCTCCTGAGAGTCCAAACCAGCCAGACCTGTTTGTCCTGGCCGCTTACATCATGGAGAAATCCTTGCATACATAGAATTTGGGAGGTGGAATCTCAGTTTTGACCATGGGCACCTGATAGAGATGGATGGTTTATCCATAAGAAAGAAAAGTGTGAAGTCCAAGTTTCTTAGAAGAATACAAGAGGTGGCCACCCATGGGCCAAGAGAGCCCAATCTGTCTCTCCTGGCACGTTTCATCTGGGTGAAATCCTTGGACATGGAGAATTTTGGAGGTGGAATCTCAGTTTTGGCTGTGGGCACCAGGACAGGAAGGAGAGTGCTTTTTATTAGGATGGAAAGCACAGAGCCCTAGTGTTTCAAAGGTAGATGAGAGGTGGTGTCGTAGACATCCTTTTGTGAAAATCCTTTCCTATGTTTTTTTTTTCCCTTCTGAGAAGCTGAGGCCTCAGAAACAAAATGTAAGCAATGGTTATCTGCTGCTGTGGAATGCAGCAGGTGGATTTTTGATTGGCCCATCTAGGTTGTTTATAATTAATGGCCAATCAAGGCGGAGCTATCTTGGACAGAGTCTGAGAGAGCTGCCTTTTGTTATCATTCTTTTCCATTCTATTCTTAGCTAGCCTTCTGAGATGAACCTTTTCCTTCTATTTCTTTTTAGTATAGTTATAATGTAATATATATATATCTCATAAAATAATAAATCAAGCCTTCTGAAATATGGAGTCAAATCTATGTCTCTTCCCTCATCCTGAAAACCCCTGTGAACACTGTCACAAGGTGGCCCCCAGGTGGCCAAGCCAGCCAGATCTGTCTGTCCTGGCAGACTTCATCTGGGAACAATCTTTGCATACATGGAAATTTGGAGGAGGAATCCTGATTTTGGCCATGGGCATCTGGAGGAGAAGGGCAGCTCTTTCCACAGGAAGGAGAGCCCAGAGCCCCAGTGCTCCAGGGGCAGATGAGCAGCAGCCCTCGACATGCCAGGGTCAGCTGGACCTGTCAGGTGGCCCCCAGGTGTCCCAGCCAGCCAGGCCTTGATGCCTTGAGAGGCTGCCTAGAACAGGGGCTGGACAGTGTTACAGGAATAAAGTAGGGATTTATTAAAAGGCCTTCAAAGGATACACCTGGGGCAGTGCAAGAGCCTGGCTGAGGGTACACCCAAGATGGACAATGGTTCACACATTTTCACATTTTTATAGGTTTTGGTCCATTTCCATATTGGGGTTAATTATGCAATTACAGCTTCAGGTTGTGAAGTCCCATCCTCCCAGTCTGCTCTCCTCAATTCACTGTTTGCACTTTTTGGGCCTGAAGCTGCAACAGTGTCCTTGGCTCTCCTAGGTTTCTAGGTATCCTACTCCAGTTATGGAGAAATATTTCAAAGAGCTTCTAAAAAATATACACTCCTATTTTAAAGGACGTATTTTATTACTGCTCTCTTTGGAGCAGAGACAATTGCAGCATTCTGTGATTGTTATTGACCCAGGGTCTCTCCTCAGCAGCTCTGGCCTGCTCACAGAAGCTGTGCCTGGAGCTCTGACCCAGTGTGGACAACCTTGCTCCACAGTGCCCAGCCCCATCCTGTCTGTCCTCACTCCCCTGGGACCTGCTGTGCTTGGAGAGCTGGCTGCACTCAGCCTAAGAGGGGTTTTCCCTTTTTGGGGTTTTTTGAAGCAATCTGAAACTCCTGAGTTTCCCCACTGAAAACAGACACACTGCTCAAGTGTGTGCCAAGACCAAGCTGTCACCAATAACATTCCCCTCACCCAAGGCAGAACTGTGCAGGAAATGTTTTAGACCTTTGGACTCCATGGTTCCATGAGGCCTTGCTCTGTGGCAATGGACTTTTGGTTCCATGAGGTTCTGTGCTCAACAGTGGTATCCTTTGTTCCAAGTGTCACCATGGCCCCTTGGTTCCACAGGGCCCTGCTGTGTCACAATGGGCTCCATGATTCCATGATTAATGCAAAAGCTTTGCATGAACAACGAGCAACACCATGGTCTCCTTGGATCTGTTTTGTCGCAATGAACAATGGGTTCCATGAGATCCCAAACTGTCACAATGGATATTTGGCTCCATGTGGCCCCTGTGTCATTAAGGACCCTTGGTTCCATCAGGCCCCACAGTGTCACAGGGGTTTCCTTGGTTCCATGTGCCCCAATATGTCACAGGATTTTCCCTCTTCCTGCAGCAACCAGCAGCAAACCCCAGTGCCAGGGTCAAGTGTCTGGCAAGAAGGAACAAGGGGGGACATTTGGAGTGATGGATTTTGCCTTCCCAGGTCACAGTGACGTGGGATGGGGCCCTGCTGTCCTGGAGATGGCTGAACACCAGCCTGCCCATGGGAAGGGGTAAGAGACAACAACCTCTGTCCATGGAACTGCAACAGCAGAGAGGTCAGGAGAAGGCTGGGTTTAAAAGACTCTCACCAGCACAGGAAACATCAACCTAGGACATTTTCTTGAAAGCTGACATTTTAGAGCATTCTTTTATACAGACATGGACCACCAAATACCAAGTTAAACAGGCTTTCTCTGTGCCCTGAGACCAGCTGGAATCTTTTCAGCAGTCTGTGCTGTTCCATCCCTTGCTTAGGGCGAGGATGTCGGATGTTTCAGCAGCCTCCGTGCTTCTGGAGGGCTTCTCTTCACAGGCAGGCTCTAAAAGCCGAATACAACAAAACAGCAGTGTAAGGCACAGCACAAAGGAAGCACCAGGCTGATCAACACCGCCCTTGCAGTGACATTTCCCATGAGATCCTCAGCACCCCAGGCTGCAAACAAACCCCGCTCGGGGCGAGCACAAGAGCCGGGCCCAGCGCTGAGCACCAGCCCGAGCCCAGCAGGGCCTTGGAGGAGGTGGGGGGGAGCCCCGGGCCGGGCTCCAAAGGGGCCTCGGGGCTGGGGGCGATGGCGCCGAGCGCCCTGCCCGTGTCCCCCTCGGCCCTGCGGCGCCACGGGGCCAGAGCCCGGTGCCGGGGCTCGGTCCCTGCTGCCGCAAGGGCGCTGCCCAGGGCTCCCCGCCTGCCGGGGCCGGGCCGGGGGCTGAGGGGCGGCCGCCAGCCGCAGCGGCGCCTTGTTCGGGCCGGAGAAGGGCTCGGGGCCAGGCCAGCGGCGGCGGCAGGGTCACTCCTCTGCCCGGGGCGTTTGCGCTTCAGCCGCAGCAGCACCGGCGGCTTCTCGGAGCTCGGCGAATGCCCAAGCTCGGCGGGGGCGGCCGAGCGGGGCCCAGAGGAGCCACAGTCCCATCTGGGCCCAAAGGGTGCCCGCTCAGCCCAGGCGGCACTGAGGGAGGGGCGCTGCCATCGCTGCCGCCTTCAGGGGAACCTCCGGAGCATTCACCTGCCTCAGACACTTGTGTATACAGCGGCATGAAAGCATCGCTCCTTCTCGAGGCTGCATTACAGCACACAAGTAACAAAATCAGATTTAGTCCAGATTTGCTCCTTCCCATGCATCATCTATCAAGAATCTACTCCAAGTGCAGTGAATGATCGGAGACACATCATGTATATTTCTAGATCATTTATTCTCACACCAATTTTCAAAGTCCTTACACTGGTTTGAAGTGCCCGTATCCTCCTCCTTATCCTCCACTTCCTTATCCTCCTCCTCCTCCTCCTCCTCCTCCTCCTCGTCCTCTTCATACTCATCCCCCTCCTCCTCCTCCTCGTCCTCCTCCTCGTCCTTCTCCTCGTCCTCCTCCTCATCCTCCTCCTAATCATGCTCCTCCTCTTCCTCGTCATAATCTTCCTTGTCCTCCTCCTCCTCCTCGTCCTCCTCCTCCTCCTAATCTTCCTCTTCGTCCACCTCGTCCTCCTCCTCCTTGTCCTTGTCCTCCCCCTCCCCCTCCTTATCCTCCTCCTCCTCCTCCTCGTTCTCGTCATCCTCCTCCTCCTCCTGCTTTTTCTCCTCCTCGTCCTTGTCCTCCTCCTCCATCTCCTCCTCCTCCTCCTCCTAGTCCTCCTCCTCCTACTCATCCTCCTCCTCCTCATCATCATCCTCTTCCTTGTCCTCCTCCTCATCGTCGTCCTCCTCCTCCTTGTCCTCTTCATCCTCGTCCCCCATCTCGTCCTCATCCTCCTCGTCCTCCTCCTCATCCTCGTCCTCCTCGTCCTCGTCCTCGTCCTCGTCCTCGTCCTCCTCCTCCTCCTCCTCCTCCTTGTCACACTCCTCCCCCCCCTCATTCTTCCTCCTCGTCCTCCTCCTCCTCCTCCTCCTCCTCCTCCTCCTCGTCGACAGAACTGGAGATTTTCTTCTCACTCTTTTCTGTGGAAGGATGAAGCCCAGTTGCCCTTTTCCTCTGGTGCCTCCTCCTTTCCTCAGCTGAGGATGTCAAACTCACCAGGAGCAGGAAAATCCCCATTCCCTTTTTGCTTGTGGCTGCAGCCTGGAACATCCTCTCAGAACAAAACCTTTCTGTCAGCCCTGCTGAATGACACTGGCAGGAGGATTGTGAGAAATGAAGAAAATTGTATTTTGATAGGAAATCAAGTTACAAAATTACTTCTTTCTGTCCCATTCTTCTTCAGTCAGTTCCAGTTCTGTTTTTCAGAGTGCCACCTTCTCAGCTGATTGTGTTTGTGTCCCCCTTTCTCTCCTGCCTTTCTCTGCCTGCTCAGTTTCTCTCTCAGTGTCTCCCTTGACCCAGGGCAACTCTCACCAAAGACCCTGCCCTGATTGAATTCCCAGTCCATGAGCTACAACAACCATGGGTGAAGTTATGAAGGCTGGCAGGGAAATGTCACTATAAGAGCAAGATCTTACTTGGTTTTTGGTCCCTTCTTTAAGGGCTTGTGCCTTTCAGGTCAGGAACATCTTTTCCTGGCTGGGAACTGGAATTCCAGCCCCTGGCAGTGTGTGCCATGGATGCCAGAGGGGCAGTCCCGAGGTTCCCAGGGTGCTGCTCCTGCCGTGCCTCCCAAGGAGCTGTGCAGGGCCAGGGCACAAGGTCCAGCAGCTCTGTTGGTTCTGCAGTGCCACAAGGGCCCCTGGTTCCATGAGTTTCCCTCTGCCAACAGCGGTTCCTTGGTTCCCATGATGCCCTGCTGCTGTGTCACCATGGATATTTGGTGCCATGAAGTTCTTCAGTGTCACAATGGCCTCCCTCGCTCCATGAGCTCCCGCAGTGTCACAATGGCCTCCTTGGATGGGCAGTGTCACCATGGACCATTGGCTCCAGGCAGCCCCACTGGGTCACCATGGACTCCTTGGTTCCATGAGGTTCCAGGGGTGTCTGCATGGTCTCCTTGGATCCACAGTGTCACAATGGACCACTGGATTCATGTGGCCCTGCTGTGTCACCATGGCCCCTTGGTTCCATGGGACCCCAGGGTCACAATTGACTCCTTGCTTCCACATCACCCCCTCAGTGTCGAAATGGCCCCTTTGTTCCATGGGGAACACAAAAGTTTTGAGGAAACATTGAGTAAATCCTGCTTAACACACCTGGGAACATCTGTTTGCATTCAAGAGAGAGGTTAAAGGTGAGGATGGCACCAGCAGCTCTTCCATCTGCAACAGAGATCCAGGGAAAGGACAGGGACAGAGGATTCAGCTGCAAGACTGAGAGAATTCTGCTCCCAGAGATCATTTCTGCTCACACTGTCCCTTGTAGAAAGGTGACACCATTCCAGGCAGCTTGTCCTGAGCAGGTGGGTCCTGAGTGGGTTTGTTGTTTAGGAAACCTGCTCAGGCTTTTCTATTCTTTCCTTCCCAACAGGAAAACTTCTCCTGGGCCTGTGTGCAGGTAGAGCCCCGAGGAGAGCAGGTGGGACATGGTGCAATGGGCTGGGACATGGAGCTGCAGAGCTCAGGGGACAAGGTTCTGTGCAGGGCATGGGAATGTCAGTCCTGGGTGGGCCATACAGACATGGTGAGGCTGGGGGTGAGGAGCAGCTGGTGCAAACTGGCTCAGCCCTCAAGGGGCTCATTTTTCTCCATGGCCAGACCTCGTAAGGAGACATTCAGCATCAAGATCACCCGGGGAATGCTTCTATCAGCTCTTCTCTGATCTGGAAAATAAAAAAATACTCACTTGATTAAAGAAAAAAGTCATGAGGTACACTTTGAAATCTTCATCTTAACAGAACTCCAAACTGACTCCAATCAGCTGCACAAGCCCTGGAAACCCCAAGCTCTTTCTGTATTTTAATGATGCCCATTGTGGGAACTCAGCACATCACTCTGGATGTCCAGAGTTACCGAGAGAACCCTTGGGGGGCTTGGAAGTCCTGGAATATTGCCAGGAGCATCTGGTTGCTTGACTTCGATCCCTCTAGGGATGTGACATCTGTTTGAGGACATGAGAGTCACTTGGGAGTGAATGGTGCAAGAATGATGTATTTACAGTGTAAAACATAGATTTTAGGGTTTTAGTACAGGGGTGTTATGGAGACAAGATGGAGGGATCAGGACGTGACTTGTCCTTCTTCTTTCTTCTTCTTGTCATCCATTTTCTGTGGTGATGTTGGCACTTGGGGATTGGTTCATGGTGAAGGTGCACTTGCTAATATGGGTGAAAGGTATTGGGAAATAAAGGTAAATATGATATACCTAGTTTTTAGTACAAAAAGACACGACTACCCCGTGGGTGGTCAGAGTGCTCTTGGCTGCCTTGCAGGTCAGACCTCTGCTGGGCAGACAGAAAATTCTGTAGATAAGAAATAATAAACAATCTGAAGACCGAGAAACTGAAGAGTGCAGACTCGTCCTTTGAAGCACGGGCAGCCCCAGAAACACCCTACACATGTCTGGGCACAGACAGACAGTGTCATGGTTTAACACTGGCACAATGCCAGTGCCCCCATGAAGATACCTTCTCCCTGGTTTCTGCTGTGAGATGTGACCAGGAATAAGCAAAGCAGGCTCTTACTTAGGGAAAAAAAAAGAACTAAAACTTTATTAACTACTCTACAACTACAGATAAAATAAAACACACACATAGGGAAAATGAAAACCTCACAAATGCATTTCCTCCTCCCCCCACCAAATTTCTAACGCAATACATTTGTTCCTCAAATCACCAACTCTCGGTCCAGCACCACCCTTCAAACAATCAATCCTCAGTTCATCAAGAGGAGAGGAGTCCTTCTTGTGCCATGGGCTTCCCCTGGAAACACAGTCGAAGCCTCGTGTGTTTCTGTGTCACTTGTGGCACCGCCCGGAGTACATCTGCCGTCGTGACTTCTTCCTTTTCATGTCCAGTGCTCTCACCACTGAACACGGACCAGAACTGCTTCTAGGGTTGTCTTTTAAGGATGCTCTGTCCCGATCCAAAAAAGGCACATTCTCTCCTTTGGGACACCTGTCCCCACAATCTCTCCTTTGGGACACCTGTCCCCCCCATATTTTTTCACCCCCTGGGGCCGAGGGGCATCAACACTGAACCCTCTTGGCTCTGAGGCCATTGCCTCCCCCTAGAATGCAGTCTCTGTATCACAAGGAACATGGGTCTGTCCATGGCTATACAAAAAGAGTCCAGCAAAAGCCACTCCATCATCTCTTCCCACTAGGATTCTTCTCTACTCTTCTACTATCTCTCACTCACCCAGACCTCTCTCACACTGGCCCATTTCCTTTTTCATCTTCCACTCTATCTTCTAGGAAAGGTCAATGTTCTGTAAAGTTCTCATTTTCCAAAAAGGGGTTAAAAGTTCCTACAAGCGGCCGGCTGAACCCCCCCTCTCCTCCATCCCAGCCGTGCTGCCAGCACAGGCCCATGTTTATCAAGCTTCAAGGTTACAGTCTCAGGCAGCGGCTCTTTCTCTCTCTCTCTCTCTGTCTCTCAGGGGGGGCTGCCCGATGGCTCCCGGTGTCTCTCTCTCTCTTTCTCTCTTCCACCCTTCCACCCCGGGGCTCAGGCCTACCTCTCTTGGCCACATGGCTTTCCCCTCCCCCTGCCCAGCCAGCAGCTGGGCCGGGGGAGAGACCCGAACTCTTTCCCGCCGGAAACCCAAGAGAGCCTCCCAGGGGAGAGCTCTGCTTTTAACCCCGTGTTCTCAGAGGCGTGTCCATGTCCCAATGGCCAGGTTAAATGCCAATATTAAAGTCTGAATATCCATTGGCCAAAAACACAGCATCCACAGCATCCCAAAAAACACATTTCCTGTCAAACCACCACAGACAGCCAACTGGACATCTGGCATCCCTGGGTGAGCCCTGGTGGGCATTGGTGGGCCCCGGTGGGCACCCATGAGTGGTGAACGGCAGGCATCTCTCACAGACCCCGAAGTGCTGAGTGGGCAGCTCCCGAGCTGGACTTGTTCCCAGGAGAGCGCTGATAACTCCTTGGGAAAGCAGCCAGAAAGCAGCCAGAGGAGTCTGAAGAGGCAGCAGCCACTGAGAACATTGCACTCCACTTCTGCCAAAGAAGGTTCGTAGCAGAACAGCCCGGATTGGAATCGGAAAGGCGCCTCCGAATCCATCTCCTGTGACCTGCAGGCCAAAGACCAGGAGCCTTTGGACTGCTCTGATGACACAAATTCGGTGAGAAGGTCAAAAATTAAGAACATGGGGGGTGTACTCTCCCAGGAACAATTAGGGATTTTGTCCGCCTTACAAGGCGTGGCAGAAACACATACTATAGGAATCCCAAAGAAAAAGCTTAAAGATCTGTTGGTATGGGTGCGGTGTAATAACCCATACTCAGAGACGCGTCTGTTGTTTGAAGTGGGTTTTTGGCAGAAAATTAATAGACACCTTTATCTCTTAGCTATTTAAAATGATAAGACGGCCTTGAAGCTGCTGTCTCCTGCACGAGTTATGTTAGAAGCGACCTCAGCACAGTCTAGGAGGTTGGCCAGGCAACAACTTGTTATAAATCCCACAGGGGCGGAGGGAGGAGAGCAAGGCTCAGAACGGAGATTGGCTCTGATCCCGAGGAAGGGGAGCAGGGAGAAATGTCATTGCCTTCAGTCCCACCATCTCGAAAACCCAAGGGACCTCCAAAACGTCCTGAAACCCCAGAGAGTACAGGGGCTTCGGGCTCCAACTCAGGCACAGACGACACCATTCCAATCCCAGACGAGTTAAGGTTTTCTCCCAGCGACATCGAGGAAACAGGTTGCTCCTTAGGAGCGCACCTTCCCGATTCACAGGAGCCAGAGGGAGACGGGATGAAACCAGTGGTGGAGTCGGGAAGGGGGGGTCGAAGGGGGACCAGAGGGGAGGGGGGATGCGCTTTCTCGCGGCGGGCACGGCTGCGCAGTGGCTTTTGCGGCGCTAGCTGGTGGGAGGGGCACGGAGGCGATGGAGGACACAGGTTGTGGTCTGGCTTTTGCAAGCGCAATGCCGAGGGCGGCGGCAACCTTGGCCGGTGCGGTGCCAAAAGTGCACATGGAGGGCAAGGCTCACAGGACATCTGGGGAGGGCTCTCAAACCAACGCGGCAGCGTCAGACATGGGCAGTGAGCATGCGGCAGCTGCAGGGCTCCAGCCGGCTACCGTAGGGAGACGCAGGAGACACGCAGTGATGATGCCAAAGCTGGAAGTCGGGACGCAGAGATCGGCCTGGATCATGGCGCAAACAGGGGTACCAGCAGGGGGAGGGCTGCATGCACCGGCAGGGGGTGTGGATACAGCATCAGAGGAGGAGGAGAGGGGGTCAGGAACAGATCCTAGGGAGGAGACTTCGGAGACGGAGCGGGAAGGAGACAGTGACATCAGTTCAGGGGAGGCAGGAGGCGTTCCCGAGGGCGCGCGTGGGTGGAAAGTAGGGGCAGAGCACGGTCGGAGGTGGGTCTGATCCCCCGTGATGTCTCGAGTGAGGAGGAGGGGCCATGTTCGGGCTTCGACATCCCAGGGCTCTACCCCCTCTCCGATCCCGATGCCTTCAGTTTCAATCCCTGTGGTCCAAACCTCTTCCATCCAAGGGAGACGTTCACGTATTCCACCTCCATTGTTAGCTCAGTCAACAGCCATGCAGACTCGGTCTTAAACACCATCGCAAACGTTGCAGTCTGCTGAACAGGAGCAGATTGAGTTTGCAACATCATCACGGTCGTCCAGGCAGATGACAGCGCCACCTTATGGGGGGAGGACCGCAGTGCAGGACATGCCAGGCCTGTAACAGAGCCACAACGCCACCTGCTGGCGAAACTGCAACAATGCAGTGATTTTTTCCAACAACGTATGAAAAGAAAACTACATCGAAGAAAACAATAACAGCGACACAACAAATGGACTATCCCTCAACTTCGGGATTTCGCGAAGTTGAAGACACTTCAGGTGAGGCGCACTCACAAGGAGAAGACATGATACGAATCACAGCATCAGAAGGAATTCCGGCATGGATGTTTTCGGCAGCAGAAGCAACAAAGAGCCTTCTGCATTCTTTTGATACAGCCAGAAGAACACGACCACAAGAACCTCAAGTTTCTTTTTTGGATTTGGCAGCGAGACCAAAACCTCAAGACAAAGAATGTGGAACAAAGAATCACCAAGGACCTCTACAACTCCAATGTGCATGCAGCTACCAATGGAGTTTCCAGAGGAGGAAGAAGAACAGCCAGTGAAAACAATGAATTGGAAAAGAATCAGGAAAGAGTTGGCAAAACAAAAGGATTTGTTTCAAGGATCAGGAGATCTGACAATGCCAGTGACATACGATGCACAGGGTCAGAATCCGAGATGGGAAAGGATGGGTCATGAAGTAATCAAAGACCTAGCAAAGGCCATTCGGAATAATGGGCTGAATTCACAATTCTTCAAACAACTCCTGAGGGGGACATTCAATATGTACGACCTCACACCATATGATATCCGAAGCCTCGTGTCAATGATCCTCACAGACACGCAGAACCTCATCTGGGAAAGAAGATGGGGAAGGTATCTCACAGAGTTGAGAAACAGTTATCAAGGTGGGCCAAACGCAAATCTCACAGAGGCACAGTTGGCAGGGGATCCTCCAGATGACAATCCAGCAGAGCAAGCAGCACGACTTCTACGACGGGTGTTGAATGACATCAAGGAAGCAGCACGCAGAGCAATCCTGCAGATCGCCCCGGTGGGAGTTCTGGACGTTCCATTCTCATGCATCAGGCAAGGTCCCACAGAACCATATTCGTCATTCATAGATTGACTCACGCAAGCTCTGGATCTACAAGTGACTGATGATGCAGTGAAAAGACCTCTCACGGAAAGTCTAGCCTTCAGCAATGCCAACCCGGATTGTCAATGGGTCATTAGCGCAATGCCAGGACAGCCATCCTTGGCAGAGCTGGTGGAGGCATGCAGCAAGGTGGGAACGCCTCAGCATGTCGCGTCAATCGTGAGGGATGAGCTGAGAGGAGAATGGGAAGAACAGTTGAAGAAACACTTGGAAAAACAGTCAGAAGACAAGGTGTTGGAAAAAATGCTGGAAAAAGTACTTCAACAACAGAGTGAAAACATGAGTAAAGTTCTTTCAACCATCCAGAAAAAAAACAATCCATCAGGAGAACAATGCTACAAGTGTGGGGCGTTTGGACACATGAAGAAGAATTGTTCACAGATGCATGCACAGGTGCAGATGCCAAAACGAGAAAAGCCACTTTGTGCACGGTGCGGAAGAGGAAGGCACTCTGTGAGAGAATGTTATTCTCAGACGGATGTGGAAGGGAATCCTTTACTGTATCCGGGAAACGGGAAAAGGAGCACGTCCACAAACCACCAGCGGGCGTTGACACAAGTGATGGCGGCAACACAACAGCAAACAGAACAGTCATCGGGGAACGTCAAGCAGACACCCTCAGCAAAATCTTCAGCCGATTCCCCAGCGACCCAGACCTCCTTACATCAGGAGCACAGTGCACATTGGCAGCTTCAAAATTAGTATGCTTTCTGGATGAAAGTCAGGCAGAGATTCCAACAGGTATCCACGGAGATTCATATAAGAGACAAGATTTTTTAATAGTAGGACAAGACAGAAGTAGCATCCTTGGACTCATTGTTTATCCAACAGTTGTTTCTGCAGACAAGAATATAGAGCTGACAGTTTTGGCAAAAGCGCTTCGTCCACCATTGACCGTAGCAGAAAACACTCAGGTCGCGAGAGCTTTTGCCTTGCCACCACACGCCATTAAAGAAGTCATGTCAATTTTCAACGAGGAAGAGCTTCCTTTGAAGGAGCATGTTGAAATACACACTACATGGATAAAACACATAGGTCGAGACTGACCCACACTCACTTGTCAGTTGACTTGTGGAGACAGAACAATAGAAGTCAGAGGCATGCTCGACACAGGGGCAGATGTCACAGTAATATCCTACATCTTTTGGCCCCACAATTGGAGCTTGATTGTGCCCTTGGGATCTCTCTCAGGCATAGGGGGAGTTTCTCTGTGTCTGCAGAGTGAGAATGCCATCGTTGTCACGGGACCAGGAAACAAGACGGCGATCATTTGTCCTTTTGTTCTGCAAAAGCCAATCACAGTTTGGGGATGAGATCTTTTGGCACAATGAGGCACGAAGATCAAGATGGATTTTTAGTGGGGGTCACTGCGGCACTCGCCACACTGAAGTTGACTTGGAGAACGGATGATCCAGTCTGGGTGGATCAGTGGCCCCTGGAGCGAAAAAAGTTGGGTGCGCTGAAAAACCTGGTCCAAGAACAATTGCAGAAGGGACACATCAAGCCAACAGACAGCCCTTGGAACTCTCCAGTGTTCGTCATCAAAAAGAAGCTATCAGGCAAATGGAGGCTGTTGCATGATCTCAGGAAGATCAACGAAGTTCTCGAAGACATGGGACCGCTTCAGCTGGGCCTTCCATCTGTTTCAATGATTCCCAGAGATTGGCCGCTTGTGGTCATTGACCTCAAGGACTGTTTCTTCAGCATTCCGCTTCATCCGGATGATGCTCCGAGGCTTGCCTTTTCAGTTCCAAGTATCAACAAGGAAACACCTCTGCAGCGGTACCATTGGGTGGTTCTTCCTCAGGGTCTCAAGAACTCGCTGACAATCTGCCAATGGTACGTGGCACGAGCTTTGTCACCAGCACGGAAGAAATTCCCGAAGGTGAGAATCATTCACTATATGGATGATTTGCTCATTGCGGCATCAACACAACAAGAGCTGCAAAAGGCTTGTGACTGTGTGATTGCAGAAGTGCAAAAGGCAGGTCTGGAAATCAGTGTTTCAAAGATTCAGGAGGTCGCACCTTGGAAATATCTAGGGTGGAAGATCTCGGAGAAAACAATAAGGCCTCAAAAGATGGAGATCAGCACAAAAGTCAGCAATCTGCATAATTTACAGCAACTCCAAGGAGAGATCAACTGGATGAGATAGATTTTGGGAATCACGAACAGCGAAATTCCAGCGTTGCTCGATCTCTTGAGAGGAGACACAGACATTCGATCTCCCAGGACACTCACATGGGAAGCAAAGAAAGAATTGGAGAAAGTTACGGATGCTATTCAGAAAAGGCAAGCACATAGATTCGTTGAATTGTTGCCTTTTCAGTTGGCAGTGCTGGGAAAGAAAAACACAATTCCATGGTTTGATCTTCCAATGGGATTCATCTCAAAGAGATTCTTTAATAATCATAGAGTGGATTTTCTTACCATACAGGCCTTCAAAGACGATTGTCACAGATCTGGAAATAGCGGCACAGATCATCATAATGGGGAGAACAAGGTTGCTGACAATGGCAGGACAAGAATTCTCAAAGATCCATTTACCTTTGAAGCAAGATTATTTTGACTGGGGGATGCAAAAATCAAAAGATTTGTTAATTGCATTGTTAGCCTTTCCAGGAACCTGCACAATCAATTTCCCACAGCACAAAATGTTGCAATCACAAATATGTTACAGAGCAAAGCTGACCGGACAGCCCATGGTGGATTTGGGGCTGAGTCCAGGAGCTCAGGCATGGAGAGAAGGCTGAAGAAGCTGCTCAAGGAGTCAGCAGCAAAACTCCAAGCGCCTTGGAGCATGGCTGGGCCCCAGTGAGGGCAGGAAGGGCCAAAGGCTGCCCAGGGCCTGGTGAGAGCAGATCCTTGAGGCCAGGATTGCAGGGAGCCCAAGGCTCTGAGCAGGGAACTGCAATGCTGAGCAAGGCCTGGCTTGGCTGCAGGAAGCAGAAAGGCCAAGGCCTGAGCCCAGCCTGGGCCAGCAGGGCCTGTCCCTCACGGCTGCCTCGGGGCTCTTGGTGGGCCAGGGGGATGTGAGGGGCAGCAAGGACAAATGCCACAAACCCATGTGACACTCTAGATCCTCAGGGAACCGAGGGCCAGTGTGACACAACGGGGCCTCATGGAAACAAGAGGCCATTGTCAGCCTGTGGGGCTGGGACACCCCAGAACATTCAAATGCTTGGGGTGACCAAAGGCTCCTTTCCTCAAGTTTGGTGGACAGGAGAAACACCTGCCAGATATTCTCAAGAGGTCAAAATGACACAAAATTTTACTGGCAAAGTACAGAAAATCAAGGAACTTTGGCAAAAAATTTAATACAACATCCAATTCAACAAAAACCTCTCATTATAGCATTAACTTCATTAACTTAGCCCATTTATCCTGGATACCTCTAACCCTTAAGATCCTGAGTTACCCAAAAAATGTTCAAGGTAAAGAGGATAACAATTAAAAACAAAGAGAGACAGACACACATTCAGCTACCAACTGCTTGGGTTCCAGTGTGGGTGAGACACAAACCCCAGGAGAAGGAGGGTCCAGACCATGGGCTGAGCTCGTGCTCTGTTCTTTTAAACCCTCAGGCCTTTGTGCAGCCACTGTGACACTGCAGGAACAAGGAGACCATTGCTGACAGCACAGAACCTCATGGAACCATGGGGCCATGGTGACACTGAGGTGCCTCATGGAATCAAGGACACCATTGTGAAACTCAGGGGCCCCATGGAACCAAGAGAACATGGAACAGGTCTGCGGCTGGTTTGGCCTCCTGGGGGCCACCTCACAGGTCCAGCTGACCCTGGCATGTCGAGGGCTGCTGCTCATCTGCCCCTGGAGCACTGGGGCTCTGGGCTCTCCTTCCTGTGGGAAAGAGCTGCCCTTCTCCTCCAGGTGCCCATGGACAAAATCAGGATTCCTCCTCCAAATTTCCATATATGCAAAGATTGTTCCCAGATGAAATCCGGCAGGACAGACAGAACTGGCTGGCTTGGCCACCCAGGGGCCACCTCTCATCTGCATTTGAAACACTGGGACCATGTGCTTTTCTTTCTTATGGGAAAAAGACACCTTTCACATTCAGGCACCCAAGGTTGGGAATCCACCTCCAGAATTCCCTAAATCCAGGGATTTCTTCCAGACAAAAGCTGCCAGGAGGGACAAGTCTGACTGGCCTTGGTTTCTGAAGAGCTGGCTCTCATCTGCCTTTGAAACACTGGGGCTCTGTGCTTTCCTTCCTAATGAAAAGAACTCTCCTTCCTGGCCAGGTGCCCATGGCCAAAATTGAGATTCCACCTCCAACAATCCAAAGATTTCCCACAGATGAATGGTGCCAGGAGAGACACCTCTGGCTACCTTGGCCAGTGGGTGGCCACCTCTCATCTTCTTCTAAAAACCTTGGAGTTTGTGCTTTTCTTTCCTCTGGAAAAACCATCCACCTCAACCAGGTGCTCATAGCCAAAACTGGGATTCCACCTCCAAAACTCCATCCATTCAAGGATTGCTCCCAGGTGAAAGCTGCCAGGACAAACAGGTCTGGCTGGCTTGGCCTCCCAGGAGCCACGTCTCCTCTTCTGCCTTTGAAACACTTGGGTTCTGTGCTCTCCTTCCTGTGGAAAAGAACCGTCCTTATCTATGCAGAAATGGCCAAAATTGGGATTCCACCTCCAAAATTCCCTATATCCAAGGGCTGCATTCAGGCAAAAGGTGCCAGGACAGAAAGGTCTGGCTGGCCATGGCCTCTGATGGCTGCCTTTCATCTGGCCCTGAAACACCAGTGTTCCCTGCTTTCCTTCCTATGGAAAAGAACTGTCCTTCTCCTCCATGGCTGAAATTGATATTCTGCCTCTACAATTCCCTTTATCCAAGGATGACTCCCTGACAAAATCTGCCATCACTGTCTAGTCTGGCTGCCCTTGGCCTCTGGTGGCTGCCCCTCATCTGCCCCTGGAACACTGGGGCTTGGTTGTTTCCTTCCTGTGGAGACCCCAGTGACACTGTGAGGACCTGGTGGAACCATGGAGACCATTGTGACACTCTGGGATACCATGGTGACACCATGGGGCTTCATGGAACCAAGAGACCACCATGGCTCTGTGGGGCCTCGTGGAACCATGGAGACCATTAGGACCCTTCAGGGCCTCGTGTAACCATGGGGCCATTGTGACACCTCAGGGACTCGTGGAATCAAAGGAACCACTGGGACATTGTGGGGGCCCATGGAATGAGAGAAACATGGAACACATCTGGCTGACTTGGCCTCCTAGGGGTGACCTGACAGGTCAGGCTGATCTCAGAATGTCAATGGCTGCCTCTCATCTGCCCATGAACCACTGGGGCTCCATGCTTTCCTTCCTATGGAAAGAACAGTCTCTCTTTTCAGACACCCATGGACAAAATTGGTACTCCCCCCTAAAACCTTGCTGTACGCAAGCGTATCTCTCAGAGAAAAACCTGTCAGCTCTGGCTGGCCTTGGCCTCTGGTGGTCACATCTCATCTGCCTCAGAAGCACCAGGGCTGTGCAGCAGCTGCAAGACAGCCCTGCCAGAGCCAACTTGGGCAGCACTTTGGCCATGGCTGCTGGGCCTGGGCCTGAGGCAGGAGCAGGAGACAAGTGACCCTTGCAGGCCTGGGGCCTCATGGCCTCCTTGTCCCTGCTCAGCAGCCTGGCAGGGGCCGCCCCATGCTCCTGCCCTTGGCATTGCACATCCCCACATGCCAGTGCCCAACCCGGCAAGAGCCCTGAGCAAGGAGGGAGGGACAGCATCTGCCTGGCCAGGCCCTGGGGCTCAGGCCTTGGCCCTTGGCATTCCTCAAACACATCCAGCTTTTCTCAGCACCAGAGACACCTTGGCCTTGTTTGTGCCCAGCTGTCATCACTGCCTGCAGTGTTCTGCTCTAACTGGAACCTGGGGACACTTTCTCAGTCCTGTCCCTCAGTGGAACCCATTAAAACTTCAAGAAACTTTGGAGTTTCAATTTAAGTTTGAGTTGCTGAGAAGTTTTTTGAACCCTCTCTCAGGGACTGAGTCTGATGTAAACAACACCAAATCCCCAAGAGGCTCATTAAATCCTTGTGCTGTGTCTGTGCTGCTGAGCTTTAAAGGAACAGCTCTTCCCAGGGCCAGCTCCTCTCCCAGCCCAGCAGGGCTGAGGGCTCTGCCTGCAGGCACTGAGGGCACAGGAGCCAGGCAGAGACAGGCTGAAGGCAATCAGGACTGGGAAGACATTGAGCTGAGACTTCAGCTGGGGAAAGATCTTCACAGCCCTGTGCATGGTGAGTGTGTGGGTGCAGGGCAATGTCCCCTGTGCTCCTGGAGGGATCTCCTGAAGCCAGCACACCCCAGAGCCTGGGGGATGTGTCAGGAGGACTCTCCCAGGTTCTCTGTGGCACAGGAGGAGCAGGAGCAGGAGGAGCAGGAGGAGGAGGAGGAGGAGGAGGAGGATGTGGTGCAGAGCGGGGCTGCCCTGGGCACCGTCAGAGGGACAGGGCAGGACGGCTCCTGCTGCCAGGGACGGCTGCAGGGGCTGAAGCTGGGGCTGCAGCCAGGGCTGCCCAGGGCTGTCCTGCAGAGCAGCTCCTGCAGCCCTCAGGGCTCTTGGCCAGCCCAGGGCATGTGCCACCTGCCAGGGGCAGCTCTCAGCCTGCCTGGCAGCTCCCCATGGACGCTGCAGGGGAGAAGTTCCAGGTGCACGGAGCCACCCCCATCAGGGCAGATTCCTCCTGCTCTGGAGATGGTGCTGCATGGCCAGGGCTGCTCTCAGCTTTCTCCTAAAGGGAAGGGAAAGGGGCTGTCAGCTTTGGCTGTGTCCCTGAGCCTCCTGCACTGTCAGCCTGGGCATCAGCAGATGGGCCTCAGATCTCCCTCAGAAAGTGCCTCCTCAGCCTCCTCTCCCTACACACAGCAGCAGCAGCACCTTGGCTTGCAGCATCTCTGTTTGTCTGGCCTGCCCTTAAGGCCCTGCTGCCAGGGAGATGCCCCTGGGCAGTGGCCCGTGCTGGGAGGGGTCTGCAGGGAAGAGCTGAGACCCCAGGGCTGGGCTGGGCTCTGGCAGCACTGGCAGGGACAAGGCTTGGATAGAGAGAAACAGCTCCCAGTAGGCACAACTCCAGGCAGCAGAGAGCCAGAGCAACCCTTGGCATCCCTCCATGTTCAGCTGCACTGGGAAAGAGAGAAGGGCTTAGAGAAATTGACTTTAAAGCTGGAGCCTTTAAAAACTCCACTTTATTTTTCAAGCTCGTTTTATGTTTGATCACCCTGAATTAGAGGGAGGTGAAATATGCAAAGGGCACCTGTGTGGGGACCAGCAGGTCTGACTGCCCTGGGACACAGGGAGCCCTGTTTTCCCTCTGGGCTTCCCTGGGGTTCAGGCTGAGAGCAATGCTGAAGATGAATCAGTAACTCAGGAGCAGAAACCCAAGCTCAAAAATAAAAATGTTGAGTGCAGTTTCCTGATAGGTAGAGAAGTAGTTTTGAGGAAATTCCTAAAATAACCCCAAAGAGCTTGTCAATGTCTTGTTTCAACAGTCCACGATGCCCAGAGTGAAGGAATGTCCAACAGCAGCTCCATCAGGCACTTCCTCCTGCTGGCACTGGCAGACACGCGGCAGCTGCAGCTCCTGCACTTCTGCCTCTTGCTGGGCATCTCCCTGGCTGCCCTCCTGGGCAACGGCCTCATCATCAGCACCGTAGCCTGCGGCCACCACCTGCACACGCCCATGTTCTTCTTCCTGCTCAACCTGGCCCTCAGCGACCTGGGCTCCATCTGCACCACTGTCCCCAAAGCCATGCACAATTCCCTCTGGCACACCAGCACTACTCTCTCACCATCTCCTACTCAGCATGTGCTGCACAGGTTTTCTTCTTTCTTTTCTTTATGTCAGCAGAATTTTCCCTCCTGACCGTCATGTGCTACGACCGCTACGTGTCCATCTGCAAACCCCTGCACTACAGGACCCTCCTGGGCAGCAGAGCTTGTGCCCACATGGCAGCAGCTGCCTGGGCCAGTGGCTTTCTCATTGCTCTGCTGCACACGGCCAATACATTTTCCCTGCCCCTGTGCCAAGGCAATGCCATGGGCCAGTTCTTCTGTGAAATCCCACACATCCTCAAGCTCTTCTGCTCACACTCCAATCTCCGGGAACTTGGGGTTTCTGTTTTCACTACCTCTTTAGCATTTGGCTGTTTTGTGTTTATTGTCTTCTCCTATGTACAAATCTTCAGGGCTGTGCTGAGGATTCCCTCTGAGCAGGGACGGCACAAAGCCTTTTCCACCTGCCTCCCTCACCTGGCCGTGGTCTCCCTGTTTATCATCACTGCAGTATTTGCCTACCTTAAGCCCCCGTCCATCTCCTTCCCATCTCTGGATATGTCACTGTCCATTCTGTACTCGGTGGTGCCTCCAGCCCTGAACCCCTTCATCTACAGCCTGAGGAACCAGGAGCTCAATGCTGCAGTGCGGGCACTGATGACTGAATGGTTTCAGAAACACTAAACTGCTGGCCAGTTTCTGAAAGTCACTTATAATAAAAGTCATTTTGATAATTTTAATTTTTTTTGGTTGTGGTTTTTTTTTTTACTTTTGTTTCAGTTTATTAATCTTGTCCACACAATAGGACCATTGTTTATGCCACTTCTTGTTTTTTGTTTCTCTCCATCACTGCTGTGGCCCCAAACGGTGTCAATGAGGAGCTGTGCTCTCAGTGAACTAAAGGATCTCCCAGCAAACTTTTCATGGGAGATCCCCCTTTTGTTGCCTTCTCTGGAGCTGCAGCAGCAATGTCTGTGTGCAGAGCTGGGGGCAGGTTAGGGGTGGCACAGCAGCTCTGCTCCTTCTGGCCACACCATTCCTGATCCAGGACAGGAGCCATTGGCCTTCTTGCCCACCTGGGCACACTGCTGCCTCATGTCCAGCTAGCTGTCCATCAGTGCCCCCAGGTCCCTTTCTGCCTGGCCGCTCTCCAGCCACTCTGTCCCCAGCCTGTAGCGCTGCAGGGGTTGTTGCGGCCAACGTGCAGCACCCAGCACTTGGTCTTGTTCAACCTCACCTTGTTGGATTTGGGCCCTGGATCCAGCCTGTCCAGGTCCCTCTGCAGAGCCCTCCTACCCTCCAGCAGATCCACACTCACACCCAGCTTGGTGTCATCTGCAAATTTGCTGATGCTGGACTCAGGCCCCTCATGCAGATCATCAATAAAGATGTTAAACAAGACTGGGCCCACACTCATCCCTTGGGGACACCACTGGACACACGCTGGATGTGGCACCATTCCCACCACTCTCTGGGCCCAGATGTCCAGCCAGTTCCTAACCCAGGGAAGGATGAAACAATCCAAGCCACAGGCTTCAGCTTTTCCAGGGAATGCTGTGGGACATGGTGTCAAAGGCTAACGTTCTGGTACACAACATCCACAGCCCTCCCCACATCCACCAGGCCCTGGCAGAAAACTCTTGGTGGGCAGGAGCTGGGCAGGAGGCAGCCATGGGCCCTGGCAGCGAGGGAGGTCAGGAGCACCCTGGGCTGTGTGACCGGACATCAAGGACGGGGATTATCCAGGTCACTGTGGCCTGGGTGGGGTTCCCCAGGGAAGGAAAGATGTCTGGCAGCTGGAGCAGGGTCTGGGAAGGGCCTCCAAGGTGGGGCTGGAGCCCCTGGGCTGTGAGCAGAGGCTGAGGGCTTGTCCAGCCCAGAGCAGGGAAGGCTGAGGGGCTCCTCATCCCAGCCTGGCAGTGCCAGCGAGGAGGGGATGGAATACACAAACCCCCTGTGTGTCCCAGGCAGCTTCTTCTACAAAAAAGCAGGTGGGAATTGGTGTCAAGGAGATGAAAGCTGCAGGTGCAGCCTGCAGTGGAGGAAGCTCAGATTTACACAAGGCTGCTCAGGGCCCCAGGGGTTGGATGAGGGAAAGGGTGGGGTTGGGGTCAGGACAAAGTCTGACTGAATGACAGCCATAAAGGGTCCTGATGTTCATGTCTATTCATACTGCATTAGGATGTGCTAAGATCAATATCAGCTGGAAATTGCTGATATCAATGTATAAAAAGGAAAAGAAAACTAAACAGGAAAAAATAGTATCTTTGCATTGCTTTCAATGTAGTAGATTCAGTTCAAATGCAATTCTGAAATCTGTCTAATTAATCACAAAAATTTCTAGACCTTAAATGAAATTATTCCCAGGGGCTTGTCTTGTTAGACTGTTTTGAAATGTTAATGAATCCTCCAGCACTGAATTCCTGAACTGAAGAGCTGAAGGCTGAACAAGCCTCAGAAGAAGTAAAATTCATCACCAACCTCCAAGGTGCTGAGGATCCATCCTGATCAGAGCAGCAATGAACAGAAATGGGCACAGCTTTGTGGCTGTCCCAGCTTGGGATGGGCCCTGGGCCTGGAGCAGGAGCAGCTCTTGAGGGCCCCAAGGCCGGGGCTCTGGTGCTGCCCTGGGCAGATGGGATGGCAGCAGGGGCTGCAGAGCTCTCAGCATCTCCTGCAGAGGAGAGCAGGGCAGCCAGGGAGCCTCCTTTCCCTTGGCCAGGCACCTTCCCCCATGGTGGGGCTGAGTCCTGTGGCAGCTGCAGCTGCTGCTGTGCCCTTGGCAGGGGCTGAGGCCGTGGGGCAGTGCCCAGAGCAGCCTGGCCTGAGCAGAGCTGTGGGGCCAGAGCCGGCTGGGCTGGGCTGGACTCAGAGAGGCCCTTGGTGCTGCCCAGAGCTCAGGGCAGCTGGCAGAGCTTGCAGGGAGCTGGGCTGGGCTCAGAGAGCCCGGCCCAGAAACCATCAGTGTCCATCTCAGCCTGGCTGAGCATGCAGGGGCCAAGAAGAGCAGCCCAGGCTCTGCAAGTTCTCTGGGTGGGAGCTGAGCTTGTGAGCCCCTGAGCCCTGCCCAGTGCTGGGGCTGCACCTCCAGCTCCAGGGGAGATGGGACAGATGGGAGAAGAGACAAATCATTCCTGCTGCATTCTTTCTTGTGTTTGCCTTTACAGGTGACCTGGATCCATATGTAGAGGATGTGGTTTTTTCAGATAATACTCATAGATAGATAAGAATAATACTTTTTAGCTGGAAATAATATTTGATGCATAAAACACAATGAGAAAAAAAAAAAAAGACACATATGATCAGAAAAGCATCTGAGTTTTTCAGAGGAGGAGAGACTCATTGATGTTCCAGTGGTCAAACCTGTTCAAATACTTTCCTCAGGGCTTTCTTGAGATGAGAGTTGACCACCAGAGCCCAAGGCCAGCCAGAGCTCTCTGGCCTGGCAGCTTTTGTCTGGGAGAATCTTGCATATTGAGGATTTTTCAGGGGGAGTATCAATTTTGGCCATGGGCACCTGGGAAGACGGATGGTTCTTTTCCACAGGTAGGAAAGCCCAGAGCCCCAGTGTTTCAGGGGAACATGAACAGACCCTCAACATTCTGAGGTCAGTTGAGCCCAGTCAGGCCAAGCCAGCCAGACCTGTTACCTCTTCCCTTGGATTCACAGGGCCCTCAGGGTCCCAGTGCTGGTGTCATTTTGGATCCTTGGTTCCATGAGGCCCCACTGTGTCACACTGGCCCCTTGCTTCCCATGGGGCCTTGAAGTGTCAAAACGGTTTCCTTGGTTCCATGGAGCTGCACAATGGCACAATGGCCTCCTTGGTTTCATGAGGCTGCAGAGTGTCACAATGGCCTCTTGGTTCTTTTGGGTTTCTCAGGATCCCAGTGGTCCCTTGGCTGCATGAGGCCCAGCTGTGTCACAGTGGCCCCTTTCTTCCATTGGGCCCTCTAGCATCACAATTGGCCCCCCTTGCTTCCATGAGGCCCAGCAGCGTCACAGTGCTCCCCTTGGTACCGCTGTATCACAATGGAGCCTTGTTCAATGAAGCCCTGCCATGTCAAAATGGTGTCCTGTATTTCATGGGGTGTCACAACCTCACAATGGACCTTTGGTTCCATGAGTCCCACATTGTTCCAAAAATCCTTAGTTTCATGTGGCCCTGTAGGGTCACAATGGTCCCTTGGTTCCATGGTGCCACACAGTGCCAAAATTGCCCTTTGGCCCAACAGGGCCTCATAGTGTCACAATGGACTCCTTGATTCCATGGGGACAGAAAGTGCCACAATGGCCCTTTGGTTTCACCAGGCCTCAAAGTGTGAAAATGGCCTCCATGGTTCCATGTGGCCGTGCTGTGTCAAAATGGACCTGGGGTTCCATGATGCCCCATAGTGTCACAGTGATCTCCTTGATTCTACACTTTAAGAATGCCCCCTTGGTCCCATGGAGCCCCACAGTGTCACTATTGTGCCCTTGGTTCAATGAGGCTTTGCTGTGTCACAATTGCCCCTTGGTTCCGTGATGTCCCGTAGCAGAGCAATGGTCTCCTTGGTTCCACAGTGTCAGAATGGCCCCTTTGTCCCATGGAGCCCCACAGTGTCACTATGGTCCCCTTGATTCCACAAGGCCCTGCAGTGTCACAATGGCCCCTTGGTTCCAATGGGTTCTGAAGGGCCATAATGTTCTCCATGGTTCCATGAGGCCCTGCAATCTCCCAATGGACCCTTGGTTCCAAGGGCCCCGCAGTGTCACAAGGCTGCCTTAGTTCCACAAGGCCCTGCAGTGTCATGGTGGCCCCTTGGCTCCATGAGGCAAAGCAGAATCAGAATGGCCCCTTGGTTCCATGGAGCACCACGGTGTCACCATGGTCCCATTGGTTCCACAGGGCCCCTCAGTGTAACAATGGACCTTTGGTTCCATGAGCTTCCTCAGTGTCTCAGTGGCCCCTTGGCTCCATGTGGCCCCACTGTGTCACAGTGCCAGGTGGTTCCATGAGGCCCCACAGTGTCCAAATGGTCTCCTTGGTTCTGGGAAGCCCCAGAGAGCCACAAGGGACCCTTGGTTCCAGGGGGCCTTGCTGTGTCACAATGGACTTTGGTTCCAGGAGCTTTCACACTGTCAACAATGGTCTGAGCACTGCAGTGGCACCATGGATCCTTTGTTCCATGAGGTTCCAGAGCATAACATGATCCCCTTGATTCCAGATGGTTCTGCAGTGTCACAATGGACCCTTGGTTCCAGGAGGCCCTGCTGTGTCACAATGGACTTTTGGTTCCAGGAGCTTTCACACTGTCAGCAATGCTCTCCTTGGTTCCATGAGGCCTTGCTCTGATACAATGGACTTTTGGTTCCATGGGGTTCTGCTGCATCACAATGGACTTTTGGTTCCACGAGTTTCCACAGTGACACAGCTGACTCCTTGGTTCTGTCAGCCTCTGCTATCACTAAATGTCCAAAATATCAGAATAAGGCTCCATAACACTAATTTGGTGTTTCAGGGGGCATCATTTATTCAGGCCTAAGGTCCAACATGCAATAACTCCTAACCTTATTAGGACACGTAATTCTACCAGTGTGTTGCTTATACACAGTGGCTAAATACGAATTACAATTTACCCATTTCCATAAAACCCACGCCAAGTTCCCAGATTCAGTCCTTGTTTTCTCTACCCCTGCACCCTTGA